ATACATACAAAGTGGAGACTTTTGGAGAGTTTCTAAAATGCCTCGAAACACACACTGAAGTTGATTTTCTTACAGTGGCTAAAGTCCAATGGATTTTGAGAACTCTATAAAAGTCTCCACTCTTGACAGTTTCATAAAAATTTCGATTTTTAATGGTAAATATTAAAGATAAAGGTTTCGGCAGTGGATACTTGGTTTTTGCTAGTGAATACTTTTGGCAGTGAATACTTTTGGTTTTTATTATTGATATTCCTTAAGAGCCAGATTTTGTGCATAAATAAAAAGTGGAGACTTTTGGAGAGTTTCTAAAATTCCTCGAAACACTCAATGAAGTCGATTTTCTTACAGTGGCTACAGTACAATGGATTTTAAGAACTCCATAAAAGTCTGCACTTTTGAATTTTTATAAAATTTTCGATTTTTTAATGGTAAATAAAAATGTTAATGTTTTCTGCAGTGGAGACTTGGATTTTTCCAGTGATATTGCTTTAAAGCATATGTGTATTAACCATTTCTTGCACGGATATTTTCGAATTTGTGTATAAATAAAAAGTGGAGACTTTTGGAGATAATTTTTTCTTTTTTAATTCATTTAATTCTAAAATGCTCATAGACTGCCTTTAAAATAGATATTTTCACCATGGCTATAGTTCAGCTCGTTTAAAAACTCTACAAAAGTCTCCACTTGAAAAATTCATAAAAGTTATGATTTCTTAATTGTAAATAGTAAGGGAAATGTTTTCAATACACACAATATATGTTTTATGACAAGTCTCCACAATAGAATTTCATACGAAAATTGTAAATTTTTATTGTTTAATTTAAAATAAAACAATATTTAACCGAAAAATATTTATGTTGGCTTCCAATGTCTTAGAGTAGCACATGTTACAAAGAAAAGCAATGATTTTGGACAATTTTAAAATTTTGAAAAAGTCTCCACTTTTTAAAACATTGCTTAAATCAAAGGTTTTTTTCTGGATATATATTTTATGGGATGCAGTCAAGTTTCCCATTTCAAAAAATCCAGGTCTCCACTAACAAGTTTATGGAGTATTTTTAATAAAATATTTCTAAATCATTTAAAATCGTCATCATTAAAAATTAATATAAAAAAACTATATTCATTGAGTTTTTAGACATCCCTAGAAATGTTTATTAAAATAAGAAATATTGTTTTGGACAATTTGGGATTTGGAAAAGGTCTCCACATTTTTATATTTTCATAAATTTAAGCTTTTTTTCTTTGAAAATGCATTCTATGGGAAGCTATGGAATATTTCATGACTTAAAATCCAGGTCTCCACGAACAAACTCATTCAGTAATTTCAATAAAAATGTTTAAAACTTGTCATATTCAAAAAGATTATTGAAATATGGCTATTTTGGTTTTTAATATAACTTATTAAAACCACCAGAAATACATAATAGAAGGAAATTATATGTTTTTTATAAATTTTGAAGTTTTGAAAAAATCTCCACTTTTTGAATATCATTAAAATCAATAATTTTTCTTTTAAACTAGGCTCCATAAGAAGAAGTAAAATATCCCAGCTCTTAAAATTTAGGTCTCCACTAGCAAACTCGCATTGATTTTATAGTTTTTTTTTTTAAATCAAAAAGTCTCCATTTATTAAACACTCGCAAAATTAGAAAATGTCGTTGGATTTAGATTTATTACGATACAAAAAAATATCCCGGGCCTTAAAATGGAGGTCTCCACTAAAAATATTTACTAAGAATATTTACAAATTTTTCCAAAATTTGTTAAAAATCATCAACATTAAATGAAAAATGTCTAAGTTGCTATAAAATAAATTGCTAATAATAGAAGCATCTGGAAATATTTATTTCAATAAAAAACATTGGTTTTGAACCATTTGGGAATTTTTCAAAAAGTCTCCACTTTTTAAAATATCGTTAAAATCAACCACTTTTCCTTTGAAACTAAATTTGCAGGTTGCAATATAATTTTCCAACCCATAAAAGCCAGATCTCCACTAACAAATTCACGGAGAATTTTAAATAATTTTCTTTGAAAATATATTGTAGGGAATTTGAATAAACATTCTAAGCCATAATAACTGGGTCTCCACAAACAATGTAAAGGTGAGTTTTTAACAAATTGTACAAAAAGACAAAAAAAAAAAAAAATAATTTGTGTCTAAAAATTCAATCTGTTACTTTGACATGTACACACATTTCCCAAACATCCACGAAAAATCCTAACAACTTCGTGATATTTTTAGAAAAAAAAATATTCAAATGTTTCCATTGATTTTTCCCTTGAATACATACTTAGAGGAAGCCGCATAATGCACAATGTCAATTGTATTGACCCATCTTAAAAGGAAATGTAACAAATTTCATGCACTTTCCCATGAATAATAATGGTACGACAACACCCACCCCTCAAGCAAACACTCAAACATACATACATACATTAGTTCAGTCATTCACGCATGTCTGCATTCGTTCGTTCGTTCATTCATTAAAAACGAAACACACAAAAATCCTACACAATGTATTTCCTTTAATTGGACTCAGGCTAAATGGGAACATTTCAACAACAACAACAACAAGAAGAAGACATATTTTTTGGTATAAATATCAAATTACATGAGATTTTCTTTTGTATCCATACTTGAAATGAAAAAAGAAAGCCATAAAGACAGACGGACAGATAGACAGACAAATATAGAGCCCCAAAATATTTTGAAAGGCACGCATGCGCTTTAAGAACACATTTGTTCGTTCTTTTACATATGTTGGTTGGCATTCGGCATTTTTAGACCAGAAATGAAAGACAGCGAATGCATGGTTCTCAAGAGCTCTTATTTCAGCAACGTAAAACAAACATTTGTTTGGCAGATGTGTCTGGAACATGTTCTGTGTGTGTGAACTATTTTTAAACACACAAGCACACACACACACATTGAGTCAAGGATTTGCCGGTTCGAACAATAAGAAGAGTCCTGTATTTAGATTGCAGAGCGGAAAAGCCGGCTGGCTGGCATACGAGTCGCTGAGATTTAAGCCATAAACATATAAACTACCTAAGTTCAGGTAGTGGATTTGTTCTTGTTGGCTGTTCTGAGACAAACATGTCCTTTTAATTATAAGGGGACCATATTTCTTATAGGACTTCCGCAGAATATTTTGGTTTTATTTGGGATTTTTGGTTTATCATAAAATGAGTTTCCTTCTTAATTTCCACATGGCTTCAAATCAACACATATTATATCATGTCTCCAGAAATTACTCAATATTTTTCTTTAAATTTTTTGGTCATTTTTTAATTTAAAACATTCATATGCTCTTTATAAATTAATCCAAGTCTCTTTATTTAGTAATCAGTGATAATTTTAAGTGTTTTTTGAAAACTCTACAGAGTCTCAATTTTTTATTCATCCGTATTATCAACCCGTTTTTAATTGCATTGTGTTCAGAAAATTCCAAAAATTCAATATATGTAAAATAAAAATAGTCTCCACGTATTAAAAATCATAGAAATAGTCTCCATTTTTTTATTTTCTGAGAAAATAACTAATTTTTGATTTTATTTGCTTTAGAAGACTATATACATTAAATATATAAGAAAAAATTCTGGTCTCCACTAAGTAGAAATCCGAGTATTAAGTCTCCACTTTGTTGTTTGTTGAGTTATCAACTCGTTCTTGATATCATTGTGTTGAGAAAATTCAAGAAATGCAATATATGTAAAAAAAATACTCTCCACTAAGTAAAACTCGATATAAAGAGTCTCCACTTTTTGATTTTATGAGTGAAAAACCTGTTTTTGATTTCATTGTGTTGGCAATGATGTATATATGCAATATATGTGAAATAACACTAGTCTCCACTTTGTAAAAATCAATGTTAGAAGTCTCCACTTTCTTATTTTAAGAGCTAGCAAAAAGTTGTTAACGTTACTGTGTTAAGTATTCTCCAAATATTCAATATATGCAAAATAAAAATACTCTCCACTAAGTAAAACTCGATATTAAGAGTCTCCACTTTTTGATTTTATGAGTGAACAACTCGTTTTTTATTTTATCGTGTTGGCAATGATGCAAACATTCAATATATGTGAAAAAATAGTGGTCTCCACTCAGTAAAATTTAAGATTTGTAGTCTCCACTTTGTCATTTTAAGAGATAGAAAATAGTTTTTTTATGTTGCTTTGTTAATTAATCTCCAAATATTCAAAATATGTAAGAAAACAATGGTCTCCATTAACAAAAAAATCGAAATAAATAGTCTCCACTTTGTTATTTTGCGAGTTAGGAACTCATTTTTGAGTTATTTGTATAGAGAACAATCGATATATCCTTAATGTGCGAACTAAAAATAGTCTCCACTAAGTAAAAATCTATGTTATAAGTCTCCACTTTGACATTGTAGGAGCTACGTACTTGTTCCGGAAGCCAATATGTTCAGAATGCTCTGAATAATCAATATGTATAAAAAAAACAATGGTCTCCAAAAGCAAAAATCGAATCAAAAAATTTCCACTCTGTTATTTTTCGAGCAATGAAGGGGTCATTGCTTTCATTGTTTAAAGTATACTAATATAATCATTGATCTCAAAAAAAAAAAAAAATAAATAAATAAATAATAATAATAATAATCAAAAAGTCACCACTCTGTTATTTTTCGAATAATTGTCTAGTTTTTTTGGGGTCATTGTGTAGAGTATAATCTAAATACTTGCTATTTATGAAAAAGAAATTGTCTCCACTTACAAAAAAATTGAAACAAAAAGTCTCCACTATTTTGTTATGTCAATAACAACAATCCATATGTCCATTATATGTCGAATACAAATAGTCTCCACTAGTTAAAAATATAAGATTGATAATTGAAAAAAGTCTCTACTTCTTAGTAGAGACCGTTAAAATAATTTCCTATAAAAATTGATTTAAAATCTTAACTTTACTTTGAAAAAGTTACAAATTTTCTAATTATTTATTTCTTCTTCTTCTTTCCTTCCATTTCAGAGGTGGCTCACATGCTCTGGAGCACAGTGGCCCCTTAGGTCTCAATCTCACGGCGTTGGCCCAACACATCTCCAATGCTGCTGCAGCTAATAACAATAACAACAACAGCAACAACAAAAACAGCTACAAATTAAATTCAATGCATTCATCGTTTAATGATTCCGCCTTGAATCTCTCCAAATGTTCATCGAATCTCAATATGAGCGGTGGCGGCGATGATTACTATTATAACGTAAAATCCGAATTGGATTTGTCTAATCAAAATACAAATCCCAATGCGGTGGTACACCAACATCAACAACAACTGGCAGCAGCTTTGGGAGCCAGCTTCAATCCGGCCCCGGCCCATCAACACCAGCACACATCATCACATGCATCTAATAATAATAATAATGCCACACAACAACAACAGCAACATTCGGGAAACCAGCTGCAACAACACCAACAACTATTGCACAACGATAGCCGTGTCTCATCGACCCGCAATGATTCCTCCACTGGACAAAACAATACTTACGATGATTTGGATAACTCCTCAGTGCGTAGCGGCGATGAGGGGGCGGCCCTAAGCAATCAAGGCTCAGATGAGGTAGAAGAATTGGAAGCCATAGATGCAGATTTCCCCTATCCTTTGATATTGAATTCCCATCACTCGCCCACGACGAGTGGGGCGGGTATTAATGGCAGCAGTGGTGGGGTACCACCGCTGAAACGCCGACGTAAACATTTGAATAGTACCGGCGAGGAGGATAACGATGCCGACGACGATGATGACCAGGATCAGGATGAATACGATGGCCAAATGCTGCAACAACATCGTCATTTGCGGGCTCAGAATATGGCCAATGGTCTAACGCATAACGGTTTAATGGGCGATATAATGGCCCAGCCCCAGACAGTGCGTGAAGTTTTAAATTCCAAATTCTGTGGTTTCATATCGGCCAAACTCAATAGCATGGAAGATTCGGAGGCGGATAATTTAATGAATAAAATTCTCATGTTGCTGGTGCAGACGCAAATGAACAATGCCGTGGCCAGCACGGCAACAGCTGGGACCACTGGCTCATCATCACCTTCGGGTAGCAGTTTAAATGTCTCCACACCAATGGGAGGTAGTGAGGCAAAATGAAGAGGGAGAAGAAAAAAGGAATTTTCCAAAAACTCAACAAGGAACAAAAGACAACAACAAAAAGAACAAAAAGAAGTGCCATTTACAAAAGAAACAAAAAAAAGAAAACTTTACTTGTGATTTTATACAAAAAAATGAAAAAACCTACAAATATATATTTTATACCTACCTACATAGTTACATTCTTTGTAATTCATTCATTAATGGGAATAGAAACAGAAATGAATTGTAAAACCCCAGAATAAAAACTGAAAAAGAGATTATTATTAATTTTTAATGAACACAAAAAAACCAAAAAAAAAAAAAAGAGAAACACAAAACTTGCCTAAAACAAAGCAACTGTTTTCTGTGAATATTTACTTTTTACATCAAAAATAGATTAATTTACTTTCCTTTTGCAATTAGTTTTAAAAATGAAATAAATCCTTTAGAAAACTCAAACACACACACACAGACACATAAAGGCTTTTGTGAAAACGATTTAAAGAAAATGAAATTAAATGTTAAGTTTTGCCATAATTTTCTCAATGCTTAGGGAAGAAATAAAAAAGACACAATAATATATAAAAAAGGAATAATAAAACCTTAAGCAGTCCTTGTGAAGTCTAGGCTCAAATAGAATATTGTTACCCTCTTGCCATTTATACATATACATACATATATGCTATTTTAGAATATTTTTTAAGTTTTATGTGTAAATACCAATTTTTTTACCCATGAATTACTCTTCGCTCTCTCGTTACTTTCTTATTCTTATAAATATAATTTAAGGGTGCCAAAGTTATGTAGTTTAATATTAATGTATAATTTTTAATATTTTTTTATTATATTTTTGTAGTTTTATGTTTTTCATTTCCTTCACATACAAATACATACATATGTTTATTATAGCATATCTATACATATATAATATTTTATTATTATATTTTTCAAAGTACAGAAACTAGAACAAACCAAAAATTATTATTTACCTTGAAGTTTTGTTTAAAAAAATAATAATTGAAATAAAAAAATACCAAAAAAATGTTAAATAAATTTATTTTTAAATTTTATACACTGTAATGTAAAGTGTTGCCTGAAAATGTTAGGAGGGGGAATTCAACAAAAATAAAGGATAATAAAAAATAATAACAAAATTTAAAATAATTTTTATGATAACAATATTAATAATAATAATAATAATAATAATAATAATAATAATACTAATAATAATAATAATAATAATAATAATAATAATAATAATAATAATAATAATAATAATAATAATAATAATAATAATAATAATAATAATAATAATAATAATAATAATAATAATAATAATAATAATAATAATAATAATAATAATAATAATAATAATAATAATAACAATAATAATAATAATAATAATAATAATAATAATAATAATAATAATAATAATAATAATAATAATAATAATAATAATAATAATAATAATAATAATAATAATAATAATAATAATAATAATAATATAATAATAATAATATAATAATAATAATAATAATAATAATAATAATAATAATAATAATAATAATAATAATAATAATAATAATAATAATAATAATAATAATAATAATAATAATAATAATAATAATAATAATAATAATAATAATAATAATAATAACACTAATAACAAAATAATCGAAAAAACGATCAAAATATGAAAATAGAACTAAAAATAGAAGACACTTATGGCAAAGTAATCCAGGTGAATGAGGAAAACTTCGTGGTACCAGAAGCTGTGGATTGATATATCCCATCTTCACACTAGACCTTGGGTATTAAAAGTATTGAGATGTGTGTAATTTGAAGTGAACCGGATTCTTATTTCGAATTTTATTATCGTTTTGGTTATTTAAAATTTTAACTCTTTGTAGGCAAGGTACCATAAGAAATGATCCGATCTCTACCATCTTTATCACGGATCCTGTGTTGATGGAAAAACTAAGATGTGCCAAGTTTGAATGGAATGGGATTATAATTTCGCAAAATTTCGACTCTTTGTGGAGGAGGTACCAGAAGGAGTGGACCGATATATCCCATCTTTACACCAGACCATAAGTTAATACAAATATTGTGATATATGAAATATAAAGCGAACTTGATCCTTATTTCGGATTTTACAATCCTTTTGGTTATTCAAAACTTTGACCCCTTATGAAGGAGGTACCAGAAATAATGGTCCTATCTCTACCGTCATTATAACAGATCCTCTGTTGGTAGAAATATTGAGATTTGTCAAGTCTGAATGGATTCTGATACAGTTTTGCGTTTTATGAGCTTCACTGATATTCAAAATGTTGACATTTTGTGAGGGAGGTACCAGAAGGAGTGGTACACTTATCAATTCGAGGTATGGTGGGAATATTATTCTCGGAAAACTATTCTATTCTGATCGTTATTTTGCCAGAGTGCAAACCCTATGAAAAGACCGTCTTCACCTAGAAGAATACGGTATTTGTTGTGATTGGGCGCCACTCCATGAATAATAATAAGACTGCCGTATAAATTAAGAGTACCCTATCTTCTGCCAAGGAGTTGTTAGAACCTCTCGTACGTAGCGACATTAAGATATTATAGTTTCGCAATCTCAATTGATAATCCTCGCTAAACGCTATATATGTAATAATAATGTTTGAAACCCAGCAAACCCCCAAAACGGTAGTTTGGTAAATTTTGTGTCGAGGAGTCTGTTCTGCCTGAATGTTTAGAATTGTTGTAAACGAATCCCTCTCCCACAAGTGGTAATTTTTTGATATCGAAAATAAAGCTTGAAATCGCCGAAGGGCAAAATGAAAGTGAAATTAACAGGAAAGGAGAAGATCATTCTGGATCCGAATCTTTTCCGGGTTATCGTATAGAACGACACGTCTTGAAATTCAATTGACAATTGGTATTGATTGGGCGCCAACATTGTGTTGAAAGAGGAGTGGGGCTAAGTGTCAGTGAGTTTGAGGTCACTTTACTTTGATGTTTTTCGCATTACGGCTTTAATAGAGAATGTTAAGGGTCAGAAAGAATTAGATGAATGATGGACGCAGAATTCAAACAGACAATTTGATCTGAACGCCTGAAATTGTTGCGTAGACACGCAAATTGGAAACAGTTTTGACCTCTTTTTACGGACTCTTATTTTTTGTGCCTACTGGCTCACGGTACAGGACAAGTCTTAAGACATAATGGTTTCAGCTACAAAGGGTACCAGATTGAAAATTCAGAAACCACAAAATATATGTTTTCCAAAACTCTGCACTAATCTCCACACCTGCATTCATCGACATATTTAGATGCAATACATTCTAGCAGTATCCTCCCTTATAAAATAGAGCTTATGCCATGTTTACGTTAGAGCTTTTTGTAGGGTTAACCTACTTCGAGAGGATTTATTTGAAGTAAAAGTAATGGATATGACAATTTAAATCCAAATCCAGTGGGTTAACCCTCATATATATAAACGTACTTTAATATTCAATTTTTCCAAATATCCTGGCATGCCATTTTTTTTTCTTTTTCAGTCTTTTTGAAAATTAATTAAAATTCTGTAAAACATCCCCAAATTTTTCAACACATTCCATCTCATCTCCCCAGAAAAACAGAAGTCTTCGAACATTTATCACAATCACTCATAATAACGTCTTTAGCAGAGAATTGCCAATCGGAATAGACGAAGGCTCAAGACAATAACAACAATTAGATATGGCCATGTCAATGACCTCTCTCTTCCAAAACAGCAGTAAGTAAAACAATGACAAAGCGGCAGGAACACACGGAAAACAAAAGCATCCTTAACAATGCCAAACAACTCAAGCGGAATTTTTTTTCTGGGCCCTCTTTTCAACCCAAAACAAAAAGGTTTTGCTGTTAACCTAACGCACACAGGCGCACTGATCAGACGGACATGGGCAAACTGACGGTTAAATGTCTAAAACTAGTTTGCCATGTTAATGGGCTGGCAAACAGATTTGGTTCGTTTTTTGCCAACATTTGATGTGGATAGAATTCCGAACCCTTACAGCAAATAAATCTCAGGCCAACATATTTGCCCAGACTCTCTTTGTTGTTGCTGCCTGGTTTTAGGGGATGTTTTATGAGTTTTCGGTGCTGCTGCTGCTGGTGTTAATCTTTTTGCATTGAATGTTTACCAGGTCCATGGCAAATGCGGTTCAATGTTCGAACGTGTGTTTTCTCTCATTTGGTTGATGATCAACATCTTTGTTTTGTTGGTTGGTTGGCGGACTGGCTGGATGGCTGTCTGCCAACCACATCTGCTTTTGTTGTCTTACCCTTAACCATTTGGGAAATAAGCCCTGAATGTATGCTCTGCTCATGATTGACTGCCTGAATGCCTCGCTGGCTGACTGTTTTCATTAAAGGGCCCATTGTTTGGCCTGATCTCCTTGGGCAAGAAATTTTGTGTGTCTGATTAATGAAGTACGAGAGCCTTGGCTTTTTGTGTGTGTGTTGCGTTCCGGTCTTGGCGCATGCGTTTAGTGCTTGAACAACGGGAGCACTAATAACAACAATGACCATGTGAAGAAATATCGTTTAGAAGGTGATGTAATGGTCGTAATCGTCGTCTGCTGTTTATTGTCACAGATGCGGGTTTTCGGGATTTAGACACGTTCGTGTGTTCAACATCTGGCCAAATGATGGTGAGCGGCAAGAAAAGGGGGAAAATTACATAGAACGTAATAGAGGAAGTATGAATTGGAAATAGGAAATGAAATAAAAATTAAAATAATGTGTGAAGATGTTGGGAAATGGAAGGAAGGATTTTTCAAAGAACTTTAAAGGGCATGAACTTTTTTAAGAACTCTTGAGGCTCTTGGGATGTCCACAGAATACCCCTATTAAACTTTCTAGTTCTGGAGGCGCTCTAGAAACTCTTGAACTCCTAGAAGAAAAGTTGTTGAAGAGCGTGTCGCTCATTTGCTGAAAGGATGTCACATCTAAAAAATAGATCAGTTTTGAGGAAAACGCAATTATATGCAATGAGGTGCTAAATATCAGTACTGAATTTCTGTGCAAGGTCAAGAATGGTTTGAGATGTTTCATATACTTTATACACTGTTTCGTCGATTTGTGTTTAACTCCCAGTAAAACAGCTGTAAAGCATGCAAATGTCTAAAAAATTGTAAAAAGTAAAAGTTCTGTAAAAAAATAGGAGTTTGTGTAGAAGATTTGTGGAAAAAATAAGTTTCGGACTCAAAAAAGATCTCTTCTATCTATAGAAGGCCTGTAAAAATTATTTTATGTGTAGAAGACCTGTAAAGAATCCTCTATCTACAGACACATTAAAGAAAGTCAATTTTAGCAGAATATCTTTATTCATAGAAAACGATTATGTATCCATAGAATACCACTTGAACTTTCAGAAGGTATTCTACTCATATAATACTTCGAAAATGTTTTAATTTCTTTAAAAGACTCCAGGATGTCTATAGACCTGAAAAGCCAATAATGTCTTCCATCTGCGTAGACCTTTTCAAGGTTCTTTCCATTTGAAATGTCCATTTAAGGACTCCTCTTTTCAGAAGGCATCTTAAAGGTCATTTGTCCGTCGAATATTTAAAGAGAACGTTTTGTCAATTAAATACTTCTTGAGGGTATTCTCGCTATTGAAGGCTCCTGCAATGGTGTCTATAGATAGATGTCCTCTAGAAGATGTTTTAACTATAGTTCCAAGTTTAAGAAATTTATGGGAAAATGAAAAATTAAAAAATCAGTAGCTTCAGCTTTAAAGGCCTATTTGACACAAAAATACTCTACTACGGAGTTGCCATTTTATACCCTCCACAATTCTATGCAGGGTATATTATTTTGTCATTCCGTTTGTAACTCCTCGAAATATTCATAATATACCCTACAAAGTACATATATTTTGCATGCATGCATAGTTTACCAGAAGGCAGGGTAAGTTCGTAAATGGGCCATGTCGGTCCACGTCTTCGTATAGCCCCCATATAACTATACCTCCCTATATTCGGTATTTTGATGATTTTAGCGACATTAGTCACCGGAATTGTTTCGAAATTGGTGTTTGAAGTTCGTAATGAATACTACAGTCTGTGACAGAAAATTGTCTGTGCGGGTCCAGGTCTTCATATAGGCCCCATATATCAGTACCTCCCCATATTCGGTATTTTGACGATTTTAGGTACAATACCCACCGAAATTGTTTGAAATGTGGTATTTGAAGTTCGTAATGGATGCTACAGCCTGTGACAAAAAATTGTCTATGCTGGTCCAGGTCTTTGCACAGCTCCAATTTAACGGCACCTCCTTATATACGATATTTTGGTGATTTTAGCTACATTATTCACCGCTTATGACAAACAATGCCTATGTATGTCCACGCCGTATAGACCCCAATATAACGGCTATATTCGGTATTTTTAAAATTTCAACAGAATTTTTTAAGGATTTTATTTTTTAAAAATTTCCAAATTCGTTGCAAATGGTGGAGGGTATTAAAAGTTCGGCACGGCCGAACTTAGTGCTTTTTAACTTGTTTTCTACTGTATTTTTCCATGGAACATTCTAGATATCGATCGTTTTTTATTTGGTCTCCTTCATAAATAGAACCTCTATAAGTTCTTTGCTCCCCGGGAAGTACTTGATGTTTTACGTTATGGTACTTCCGGACTTTTAGTCTTCTGAAGGCTTCACTGACAATTTCCAACCATATTCCATGCGATTTCGATTCAAGGGTTCTCATTAAATTGTTCAATATAGGTTTACTTTATATCTCTAACTTCCAAAATAGGTATATCGAAGTAGCTATAACTGGCCGACCTCATAGTCTATTAACATTAGACTTTTTTTAACCGGGTTAACCACCGTTATGAGTATTTATTTGAAGTATTACTAATAAATATGACAATTTTAATCCAATCCAATTTGCCCCAATGGAATTGATAATTCAAATCCACTGGCTTTACTTAATCCGGTAAACGTACCATTATAAATACCTTGCAGTTTTAGAATGCCTTGTTTTTTTATTATTCCAATTTAATTCAAATTTCTAATAAAAAATTTTAAGTCAAAACTTTTGGCTGGAAACGAACAAAATTTCTAAAAAATCAAAATTTCAGTTGCGGAACTAAATTTAAAAATTCTTTTGATTCTCCTCCTTCCATCCAACACCATTCTCCACAATGCCTAGCCCCAAAAAACCCGCCGACAACAAACCAAGTGCCCCCTCCTCGGAGTCGCTCTGCTCGAAACAATACAAAAGTAATTCCAATTCCTACATTTGGTATCCTTCGGTCAATAATGTGCAACAAATCGAATATGTACGCAAGCTCGAATGTGACTACGAACAGCTGCAGACGGCATTCCTCAGCCTAACAACACAATTTGCCCGCTTACAATTTCGTCTGCGTCAGCTGATGCAGGCTCAGCCAATGGAACGTGAAAAATTGCTACGCGATTTGGAACGCATCGCCTTCGAAGAGGTGGATGCCTATAGCCAATGTAAACCCGAAGAATTGCCACGCATTGAGCGGGATAATCAGAAAATGGGTAACATTGAGAAGAAACAATCGCAAATGATATGCCGTGTGCGGGGTCTGATGGCAGATTTACAGGAGGAGAGTGATTGTCTGGTAACGGAATATCGCAACGATCCCGATTGGGAGCTGGAACAGGCGAAAAAGTGTGCAAGCAAAGAGGGTGAGCCAGCGTTGAAGGATGTGAAAAGTCCAACGCCCTCAACTAAGTCCAAGGAGTCGATTAAGGGAAAATGATTTGTTGAATTAAATTAAAAAAAAATAAAATTGTACAATCCATATCAAGTGTGAGGTATATTCATTGAAATTGGAAATTTAAAGGCAGGTTTACCTTCTAACTTTTTTCAGGATTAACTTTCTTTATCAAAAAAATTTTGAGGTTTTTGATTTTTTAAGCCGACTGGGTTTTCTAAATCCTCTACAGCGTAAATGTGCTATAAATCCCAGGAGTATATAAATCCAGAACAATGTAGACACACTATAAGTTCAATCATTTTTCCATCAAGCCGTCCATTATTGTTCTATTTCGCAACATTAAACAGTTAGTGGGAAGCCCTCTTTGAAATATTGGACAGAATGGGTCTCTCTCGCTTAAGGATAAAAATTGAAATAAAAAAATTAAGAAATGCAAACTTTTAACTTACTTCCTAACCTAACCTTCCCCTCTTATGCGGTCATTCACAATAACCATGACTTATAAAAACATCGAAAAACCAGAAGGGTTTCTTTGAAAAAGGGGCAAGAAATTCTCTCTTTTTCATCGTGTTTTTAAATGATTTAAAATTAATTTTCTTATCGAAGTTTTCCTTCCCCACACAAGCAACCATTCACAATAACATCAATCACTTATAAAGACATGGATAAATCATTTAAAATAAAAAAACAACAAAGAAAACTTCTTTGAAATACAGAAGAGCAACTCTCTCTTCCTCACCATGCGTTTCAATGACTATATTCACTTCCTTCTCGGAGTTAACCTTCCCCAGACAAGCAACCATTCACAATAACACCAATTACTTATAAGATTCCCAATAAGAAATTGCATTTGTTTTGCTTTCTTCATTCGCATTGTTATTGTTTTCAAAAATTATCTCTCCCCCCACAACCGAATGGCAATCAACCAACAACAACAGCAGTGTGCTGCTCACTAAAAACCACCGGCCGGCATTAATTATGTTAAGGTAGGTTCGTTCGTTTATTCGTGTGTTCGCGCCTCTCGTTTGCTTTGTTTGTATACAAACAAAAACAAATCGTTTCAATAAGAATTTATTCTTGTACTTCGTGCTCAACAAGAACTCTCTCTCTCTCACTTAAGATGTGCTGGAATTTCTCACGCTCTCCTTGGGATGCCTTTGCTCTTTTCCCATTTCTCCATGGCATTTCTCTGTTCATGGTGATATGTCTCACCAAGACGACATGGTTGATGGTATTGGACATTTGGGTAAAGTGTCAATTTGATATGATTCCAGTTTTTTTGCTGTTGTTGTTGCCTTATGTGTTTGTTGTTCTCCCTTTGGGACAAAAGTAGAGCACACGCAACAGCAAGCAGCTCGTCATTCAGAGTTGCCTACGCTGTATTGGAATTTTGTAGCCACTTTGAGGGAAGTGTTGAATTGGAATACCCGTTATTCCAATAGCATTGAGGTAGGGTCTCTTGTTGGAATGCGAAACGAAATGGAAAATGAAAAACTGTTAGAAGTGAGTAGTAATGAAATTCTCACATGTAAATAAATGCCGAACTGGAAGAGTAGTAGGTCAGGTATTTCAACAAATTTTCGGCAGTTAATGGATTGAGAGAATGCAGGACTTTTGGGGGAAATTATTTAGAACTCAAAAAATATAGTTTATTTGCTATTTTTTGTATTTATGGAAGGCTGGATAATCATCGCAACATCAAATAATCATCGCAACATCAAATAATCATCGCTGACTTGTTTCGCAAGACAAAAGTATTGAAAATTGTAACCCTATGTGGGGGAGTTACCAGAAGAAATAGTCCGATCTCTACCATCTTTATGACAGATATTGTGTTGATGGGAATATTCAGATGTGTCAAGTTTGAATGGAATCGAATGTTAATTTCGGGATTTATTAGCTTCATGAATATTCAATATTTTGACCCTTTGTGGGGGAGGTGCCAGAAGGAGTGGTCCGATCTGTACCATTTTTATAACAGATCTTGCGTTGAAGGAAATATTGAGATGTACTAAGTACGAATGGATTCGGATGTCCATTTCGTGTTTTATAAGCTTCATGGATATTCAAATTTTTGACCCTTTGTGGGGGATGTGCCAGAAGGAGTGGATCGATATATTCCATCTTCACAGCAGATTTTGTATTTGTGGAAATAATGGGATGTGTGAAATATGAAAAGAACCGGATGCTTATTTCGGATTTTATGATTGTTTTGGTTATTCAAAAATTTGACCCTTTGTGGCGGAGGTGCTAGAAGAAATGGTCCGATCTCTACCATCTTTATAACAGATCTTGTGTTGAAGGAAATATTGAGATGTACCAAGTCTGAATGGAATCTGATGTCAATTATGCGTTTTATGAGCTTCATAGATATTCAAAATTTTGACCCTTTATGGGGGAGGTGCTAGAAGAAATGGTCCGATATCTACCAGCTTTATAACAAATTTTGCGTTGATAGAAATATTGAGATGTACCAAGTCTGAATGGAATCAGATGTTAATTTCGCGTGTTATGAGCTTTAAGGGCATTCAAATTTTTGACCACTTGTGGGGGTGGTACCAGAAGGATAGGAGCAATATATTCCATCATCACACCAGACCGTGGGTTAATAAAATTGTCGTGATGTGTACAGTTTGAAGACAATTTGACTCTTACGTCTCATTTTATAAGAGTTATAATTATTCAAAATGTTGACCCTTTGTGTGAAAATCGGGTCATTTTTCCCTTTCTGTGCAGTAAAATATTTTTTTTTTGAAAATTTCGACCTTTTGTGGGGGACATACCAGAAGGAGTGAACCGATATATCCCATCTCCGAACTCGATCTAAGTTTGATAATAATATTATGATGTACCAAGTATGGGCCAAATCGGATACTTCCTTCGAGAGTTATCGTTCGCACCAGCCAGCCGTCCTAAAACGGATTTGGTCCAAAAAGACATAGGGTCTAAAACCATTACTTCGATGAGGCACATTTAGGTCGTATGAAATGATATATACCCTTTCTGGCCATATGGCTGCAGGTATAAAAACCTCAAAAATTTCCCCATTTATTCCCATTTCTCCAAAATACCCTAATGCCTACTGCCGGCCTTCTCTATTTGGGGAGTCAGAAGCTTTTATCAAAAAGCTTTTTTCCAAAACTTTGGCAATATAAACAATGTGCATTCCCTTACTCACATGTTGGCTTGTTCTCTATTTGTCTCTCCTTTCCATGCCTTGCTCATTTCCAATGGGAATGAAACAAAATAGCGGTATACTCCTAGAAAAAAGGGAAACAATTGTATGGAATGCATTGGAGAGCGAGAGCGCAACGGAAAGAGAGACATTTATTTATGACAAAAAGACCGGAACCATATGCAGTTATGAAAAAGAGTTAATGAGATTACTTGTTAACAAATAACGAAGAAGGAGGACATGGGATTTGAAATAAAACAGTAATTGGAGAGAATTGTTTAAATATTTTGGATAGAAATTGTTTTTGAAAAATATGTTTTGAAACATGAACTTTTGTGTGAGGGTTTGTGTTTTGATTTTGTTGCCACAAATCTCTCCCTCTCTTGTTGTAGCCGTGACGTTGTTGTTTGCAACAGACAAACGGTTAGAACCGACTAAAAATGCCATTCTGTTCCTCTGACTGATTTTTCTCACTTCATTCGCCGGACTGTGAGTCTCGTGTTGTAGGTTCCCTACATCGCCCCCCTCTCCCCTTTCGACAACGTTCCCTATTTGAATTTGCAGCAAAAGTTTCATTCTTGGAAGTATTGCAAAAATCGTTTCCTCCAAATTCAGTTGCAAACGAACATTAAAACCGTTAACAACAACCGTTCATATGCGTAATGTTGAAAATTTTCGCACGCGAGTGAAAATTCCACAACAACATTAGCAGCAGGCTGGCCACAGCAGCAACATTAGATTTCAGTTTTTCAGGGCAAAGTGAGAAAAAAAAAACGAAAATTTTTGTTAGCCCACAAAATTATTCTGTGTTCAAATTCACATCGACGGGGCTAACAGAAATAAACAAACAAATAGTTGATTAATAAATGAAATTTGCGTTTGATGCGAAACACCTACCGAGCAGCAGATACCAACGCGAACAACAAAAATATAGAGCATTTGTGGCACGGGTACGGTTCGGCTATGGACGGGATGCTTGGCATGCCGTGGCGTTGAGTTGAGGCTGCTGTTTTTATGGCATACAAACACAATTTCGCCGAGAGTACAACAAAAGTAACGAAAACGAAAGAAAAAAAAACAACAACAACAACACCAAACAAAATAGAAAAATTAACGGGAAACACATCAATCCACTAAATTTTATTGCGCCGCGTTTCAAATGAATAACAAGTGCTAAACGACACCCAAAAATTGTGACAAAAGAGAATTTCTTTGAAATCGTTATCGAAAATCTTTGCTGACTTTTCATTGCTACTTCGTGTGCAGTTTCCGACTCAGATACAGATAATTACAGAAACCTCTTGTACGACAAGCCAAGGAAATGTGAAAGGAAAACGTGTATGTGTCGATGTGTGTGTGTATTGTTCTTTACTTCCACTACTACTGTGTAATAGACACACACATTTTAATTAAGGCCTAAAATTATGCTACAAATTAAGTGTTTTCCATGTGTATTAAGGCGAGTGGGTGTGTTTTGGTAGGATTTTTTTGTAAATCGTTTTGTTAGTTGGAATTTGGGTGATAGTTGAGGAAATTGACATAGAAACTCTGATTAAAAGGCTGTAGTGCTCTATGCTCTCTTGAAAGGCCTAAAAATAGACTACTAATTTATGATGAAAAATGGGGTTTCCTTACAAACACGACATAAATCTGAGGGCGTTAAGAGACGAAATTCTGATGAGAAGTTGGGGCATTTAGTTTTCTTGATATTCAAAGGCAAATTATATGAAATTTGGAATTTTTAAATTTGGATATGATTTGTGAGGAGGAAATACTTTGTATTCTAGTTTGCTGCATATCAAGAGGAACGAACCATTTCTTAAAGAGTTTTATTTTACTGTGCTGGAAAGATTTCAATATGAGTTTTTTAAAATATCCTTTTAAGATATCAAACTTTTAAGAATTTTATTCGGTA